TTGGTGAGTTGCCGAGCCCGCCCCGCCCCGCCGCCCCGCCCTCTGCCGTTCGGCTTGTGTTTCTTCCTCCTCAAAAAAGTGCGTTTTTCGGCGAAGAGTGTGATCGCTGCACCGCGTTTCTTAGTAGGGTTGCTGGGGACAGAAGATATTTTTGTCTTTCGGCGATTCTTTTAGGTGAGCGTTACAATGAGTTTCTGGCAGGCCAAGAATCCCCGGGTTTAGGGGTGGCACGCAGAGCTGGACGGTGAGATTTTTATTTTTCCTTTTGAACTGAAACTTTCCTTCTGACAGCGCTGTCATAGTGGCAGCGGATTCGTGTTGCTGAGGCGGTTTTTCATCAACGTAGTGCAAAATGGGGGTAATCTCGAGACATTTTCTCAGCGTAAATTAGCTTTGAAAAGAAGCAAGTAGCACAAAGTAGCCACTCAGCTCTGTAGCTGGGTTATGAGTCGTTTCCCGTAACACGGCTTCATCTCTTAAAAATAATGAAACCTTTAGACATAGTGCCCTATTTAGCTTTACTCGGAGCCAATAAAAAGTAAAAGAAAGACGGTTTTCACCAGAAACGACAATGTGAAAAACAGCGCTCTTAGATCAGCACGTACCTTCAATATCTCATAAGAACATACAGAAGTTCTTCCACTGCTTCCCGCAGTTTTCTGCATCCTTGTGTTAATATTTTGATGAACTATGTTGCCATTTTTTTCTCGAAATGCTTCTTTTTTATTAAGCACAACAGGTAAACACATTCATTTGTATGTTCCTATTTTATGATAGTTTATTTTTGTGCTTGCCTTTTGGCATTTTGTCAGCCAGTATCAGCAGTTGTGCAAAAAAAAAAAAAAATGTGTGCATGTTTTCTTTTTGAAAAACAGAAGTAAGGCTGCAGGTATTTCTTTAATAAAATTATATAAATCAAGTGGCTTAATCAAACAATTACATCCTCAGAACTGCCAAGATAAACTAGGGCATGGCTTTTTCTAACCCATGAGTTTTGTGATGTGGGATAAACTGAATACACATATAATGATTTTTTCTTGGGATGAGTTGGCTAGAGGAGCGTCATGTGCAAAATACGTAGTACAATGTGGGAAAGAATAGGAGACCCTGGTGATTATTTCATACACTTGAAAATGCAGCCATTTGGCTTCTTTCACTTTTTCTTTCGATAATGTAATATCACACACCATCTTGTGGAGTTTTGGTGATGGGGGGTCAATTTTAAGAGCTTGTCAGTGGTGCTG